GGAGCGTTCGGTCCGCCACCGACGCGGCCACCTTCGTGTCTGGAGAAATGCCTCTGTGTGTGTGCTGTGGTCGACCGCGAATTTATCTTTCTGGGAATCCCAAAGCACCTGCGACCTGGAAAAGGAAGACGCCTTACCGTCCATCACGAGGCGGCGAGATCAGTGGAGAGACCCGCGAGACTACGTCGTTGGCATACGTTCCCGACTGAATCATAAGATCTCGTTGAGCAGACAGTCCCGTGGTAGGCCTCAACGAGCTTCACGGCGCTCGTTTTCTTTGTGTGTTTGTAACGCTTTCTTTCTGCTCGTGACTTTTTTTTGTTTCTTCTTTTCTTTGTTGTAGTTGATTTGTTTTGCACTATGTTCAACACACCGATAGACACGGCTTTACCAGTCCCCGAAGTATTGTGTCAAAAGAAGAAATAAAACTCCGGAAAGTTATTGATTTTTTAAAATTTTGTTATTGTCGTGTTTCTCAAACCGAAAGCCCCTACTGGCAACACTGAAGTGTGACGGCAGAAATGGTACAAAATCGGCGGTAAACCACGTTCCCAACGGATTACAAGACGGAAAAATAACGCTACGAAGCTCATTCACCAAGAAGCGCGAAAAAACGGTCGACATACTCTGTTTAAGACAATACGTCGAGCAAGTCGTCTGCTTATTGCGCAGGTGGTGACGTCATAACAACGCCGAGTTCGTATTGGCTTTGATTGAAAGGATGGTGGGTAGACCTCAATGCTACATGCTTCGAGGGCCACCCACTATTTTTTTTTCTTCTTTTTTTCAGTCTGTCAATAAGAGCACGGCGTACTGACGTCATCGCGACCCCTGTGCACGAAGCAGACGAACTTACACTCCGCATACGCTCGCGACCTGAAAGTCTGTACCGTTTGTGACGTCACAACACCGGAGAGCGCGCGGAAATTTGAATGTTGGTTTGGGCGTCATCTTCATCTACGGTTTTCTCAATAGCTATTTTGAATTTCGAGACGAGAAACGGCATACCGTGAAGACTGAAGGTCGGGTATTCAGAAAATGCAATTTGTTTGAGGAGCTAAAAAAGAACGACCGGAGTGCTCCCACTAAACTGGCTACTCTTCGAAGTAACATTTCAGTCACGTTACGGCTTAAAAGTATGGTTTTCAGTTATCTGCTATTCTTGTATTGTGCACTCGACAGCTCGTCTTTTGTGCCCTCAGTGTACAATGATGACGATGAAGAAATTTATTTAAAAAGAAACGAAAAGCGCGATGGGTCGTCTATTTTATTGGAAAATGAGAACAGTGAACAAATGGAACACTTTAAGGGGGGGGGGGGGGAATACAGCCTGCGTCAAATGAATCGCATTGGCCCTTTGCAAGAGACCGCATAAACCGATTCCCTAAAGCATCGCACTGAGAATTTCCTACAGGGGGGGGGGGGGGGGGGGGGGGGGGGGGGCTGAAGACGTGGGCACTAAAATGCAAAAACTATTGAACTTACCTGAATAAAAAGTAAAAAGCTTAGAGCGCGAATTCGCTACTTAAAAAAGGTTTGCCGTCTGCAAATGAACGACATCCGGGAACACTGTAATCCGGGGGATTCAAGAACCGCGAGTGACTGCAGCAGCTGCTGACATATGGCCGAAATACCCCAACAAAGAGTCTTCCTCGTCGATTTTGTGTAGATCCAGTGCGTTTAATTACTAAAATAAAAAAAAATAAAAATGCACTACATCGAAAAAACCTGTACCGCGCCACATTTTACCCCAAAGCGTCGCCTGCTTTGGGAATCAGTGGCCGCGCCTTCTCTACTCTACTCGTATCTTGGTTTGTGGGCCAATTACACACCCCTGTTAGCGGATGGACGCCGCAAGTATCAAATTCAGGTCGTTCATTTATTCTTTTTTTACCCTGTACTCAGGTAAGTTTATTACTTGAACTTTTGATACACAAAGTGCTCCACTTTCGCCCACCTTTGTGCCAAATCTTAGCGCGATAGGTTAAAAAATCGATTGATGCGGTTTCTTTGAAAGGGCCAATGATCCATTTGACGAACGCGGTATACATGGATACTGTCCACCTCAGATCTAACAAAATCAGTGCTGAATGTGATTGTATTTTGCCAAGGGCATCTAAAGCCGTTATCGCATTGCTCATACATCATACAAAAGACAGTCTGCAAGCACAAGTCACAGCAATATTCGTGGTTCGAATGCAGCGTGTCAAATTTTCTCCTTGAACTCATTTCCATGCGGCATTCGAAGCACGGATCTCGCGGTGAGTCGCCTTCGAATGTGTGTGCTGACTGTCTTTTGTAGGGTGTATAAAGATTGTGATCCCGGCTTAAAAATAAATTTACCAGAGAAAATAAGAAAGAAAAAAGAACGTTTTATGTAGACGGGCTTGACGGAAATAGCAGCTGCTTCTTTCTAAGCTTCAAAACGGCATACAGAGCGATTTTCGTTGCGAACTGTTCTGCGCAAAATGTGCGTGGCGAACTGTTCTACTTTGAAGTAAGGAGGGAAACCGAGACTTGCTTCTATCTTGGAGTGAATATCTCGCAAGATGCGCCTCGCAGCGTAATTAATTTGGCATAGAAAATTACGCGCCGAAACTGCTTTTGTGACACATGCCTCCTATCTGTGAACTTAAAAATGTTTTTCTTGAAGTTCCTTGTCTTCTTCAGGGTAATATTGCTTTTGTTAAGAAAATCGGCTCTGAATTTATAACCTTTTATTGTGAACTCTTGGCTAGATTCTCTCGCTAAGATAAGTTTCATGCAAAAGTAACGAACTTCGGGATCGTGTTTGAGTTTCTGGGTCTTTAGATGACGGCTTGCTTATGCACCATTCCCCCTCCCCCCCCCCCCCCCTCTCCTTCAAAAATGAAATCATCCAGGTTTTCCGATATATCATCAGGGGTGACGAGTTTGGCAGACTTCCATGAAGCGCATAGATCAAGAAACCGTCTCCTGACTTTGAAAACCCCAGAACAAAATCAGAAACAGACAACCAAAATAATATTTGAAGACAGCACGTAAGGAATGGAGCAGTATCCTACATTAATTTTTATGGGTATATTTAAAAATATCTCTAAGTTTTTTTTTGTTGTTTTTAAGAAGACTTTTTAGTAAGAAATAATAACAATAAATTACACATTTTTGTACTTGTGGCGTTTATTGGGAGCCTTATACTAACGTTAAATAATTAAAGAAAAATATTGTAATGCGTAGTTTTTCAAGCTTTAATAATATCCATTACCTATGATCTAATCTAATACGCAGAGATGTATATGAAAATCTAAATATATGGCAATTTGAATCAGAACAATCCAGGTGGAAAGCTACATTTTCAGTGATTCTGTAAACTTCTCCATCTGTCTTGGTATACCTTGTCTTGTCGCGACCGGGCAACAAACCGCGAAGGTGTGTCTTAAAGTGTGTTTTGATATGATGCTGAGCAACCGCAGGAAGAAGCACCGTAGACTGGGCCTTCTTTGTGTTTTGTTCACGGAGACAAGAACTTTGCGCATTTGAAAAATGGGCAACTCCCCACTTTAGAAACTGTCGCCAATTCCGCACGTACTATCGCGGAAAATATGAACTGAAAGAGTCGCTTCCTTGGCCTACCCGCCGGTTTTCGAGAAAGCTGTGGTCCAAACTAGGGGTGGAATGCGAAGTTGAGGTCTCCTTTTTTGTGCTATTCGACGGATTGATAGATAATAAAACTTGTGTGAAACGCCCGCGCAGAAAAGACCGGATCGTGTGTTTCAGCTGATCGTGTCCACGGGGGTGCATCCTCTCCCAAAGGAGGCAACAAAATGCAGAATCTAAACCGAGACACGGATAATTAGAATTACGGAAAGCACGCGCGTGCTTTAAAGTTTACCTGTTCTTTTTTTCTTTTTTTTAAATTTTGTATTCTATATTTTTTTTTTTTTAGTTAGAAACATAATTAAAACCTTGTCATTAGCTGAGATTACAGTGATTGGATTTCCCGAGTACTTTGATGGAAAGTAGACGCTCTAGAGATTTTACAGTGTGTGAATCCGCCAAGCTTCGCTGGACATTCTTCTTGTAGCGTGGCATGCTTCCTGCAGCTGCCGCGCATAATTTCAAATGGCAGTTCCATTGAAATATGACGGCGTCATGAAACTGCCTTACAAACTATTCGTTGTTTTTATGTTCGTTTTCCACTCGATGTCGGAGTAGGACAGCTGTTCCAAACAAGGTTTGTTTGGTGAGACGTATGCTGCTCTGCGTTCCGCTCGACTGTGGAACATTTTTGTGTCGCTCTCTTTCAAGCTAAACCAGCGGAGAAAATTACTATAAGGTGAGCACGTTTGGTTGGCGACATGAGGGGAGCAATTTTGTCGGTTTCTTGACACATTAGACCGCGGCCGTTTACAAAAAAAAAAAAAAAAATGCCTGCGTTGCAAAATTGAGCATTACGAGCCCATTTGATCTTCTTCACATAAAGGCTACACAAACCGACGTAACCTCGAAGGGCCATGGGAGTCCGGAAGGCAAGTGGCGCTACCTCTACTGCCTTCTTCGGGGGGGAGGGGGAAAGGGGGGGGGCGGGAGAGGTAGCGTAACTCCCCTTCCAGACGCCAACAGTGATTCGAGATTTCTCCGTGTGCATTCGTCGATTCTAACCTATGCATAGCTTGTACGTGACGCCATCGCACCCTGTTGGCGGTCATTCATACTAGTTTTTGCAGAGAAAGAAAAACACATCTGGTGGTGCAAAGTGTACGCGACAAAAGGTGCGGGCTTAGCAACGAGGCAGCTGATGTTGCGTCAGTACACGTCATGTATATGGAAACGCTTTTTTTCGTGCATACGCACCAAAGAGCAGCGCACCCCATCCTTTATTTATCGTGAGTGTTGATTTCCCCCCGAAGTATTCACGGTGTTTGGAACGTAGTTGCCTAGAGCAATCGTCCAACTAGCCTTTTCGCCCTTCCTGTTCCTGCCTGTTCTCGGCAGTCTGAACGTAGGAAGCGTCGGCAACAATGGGCGAGGACCACACCGGAACCGATGACTGGCTTCAGATCCGTACCATGAAAGCTGATGACGTAGACCAGGTTCTTGACATGTGGAGGGAACTGGGCCGGCATCGAGACGTGGACAACCTGAACATCTTCTACCAGGCGGACCCTGAGGGCTTTTTCGTCGCTATCGACACCAGGAGTGGTGCGTTAGAGCCAAGTAGCTTTGTGCACGTTAGTTCTTATGTAAAACACGAGTGTAAATAAGCGGTTTTTTTTTTTTGCAAACATAGAAATTATGTTTTCATGCTTATTTGAGTAGAGTAGGCCATGTCCGCTACGGCTAATTTCAAATTAAAACATAGAAATAAAACCCACTGAATTTTGTTTGGCACACCATACGCAACCCCACGCGTATACAATCACAATCCAGCTTGAAACGGGTAGCAATGTGCTGGCAGGATTGAAAATCAAACCCAGGAATGATCCTTAGGTGGTTCTGCAGCACATAGCATGCAACATCATTGCATTGGGGGAAATGAGGGGGGGGGGGTGGAGAGAGAGAGAGGGGATGGTGTGAACTTCGTGTAGTTTAAGCTGTGAGTCGTCATACAGTATATTTTTTAACACAGAATGTTTCATTGGTCGTTTTCTATGGGAACATCGTCATGAACAAGAGTCATGAACGAGCGTCATCAACGAGAGTCACGAACGAGCGTCAGGCTGGGAGCATTATACACAAATCCAGTTTCCCCGATAAATTTAGCGAGGAGATTGGCGTCGTGACTTGACATCACGTGACCTCTACACCAGTCCAGCTTTCCAGCCAAATTTAGCGGGGAAAGAACCATAGGAGTATGGGAGAGGGATTGGTTGGAGGAAATGGGGAAGTGAAAGGCTGGGGGAGGGGAAGGGGAGAGGAGGGAGAGATAGGGTGGAGATTTTGGAGAGGGAATAGCGGAGAAAGAGAGAGAGATAGAAAAACAAAATAAAAAGTAAAACTTAACCTTAAAAAGTAAAAATAATAAATAAAAAGATAACAGTAAAAAACAATAAATAAAAACATAACAGCAAAACAGAAATAAATAGTCAAAAAATGAAAAAAGAAATAAATGTGGTTTAATCGGGACACATCCGACAGCATAAATCACAAAATTCTTTGCTCCAAGCTAAAAAAGCTGGGTTTTTGAGGTCCGTTTTTTTCACTCCTCGAAGATTACATTTCAGGACGTTCCCAGGTTGGGGTTTTTAAAAATCAAAAGAGCAGTAGAACTTTTTTAACAGCTGGAGTGCTGCAAGGTTCAGTGTTGTCTCCTTTACTTTTTAATTTATATATAAATGATCTCCCCTAGTGCTGTTTCCCAATGTAAAGTATTTCAGTACGCGGACGGCACGGTGTTAGTGTCATGTCATGCAGATTACCTTATCGCCAATCAACATCTTCAAAATGATATTACTTGCACAATGGATTGGTTTACTTCGAACCTGATTAAGGTGAATGCGTCAAAGCCAAAACTGGTTTGTTTTAAAAATCCACTTAAACGGGTTGAACTCCCGCTTCCTGTAGCGCTATATACTTCCAGCTGCAGATCTTGTGATTGCGAAATTATTGATTGTGTCAAATCTGTAAAATACCTCGGAATATGCTCTGATAGTGATTTATCTTGGTGTACACAATTCACGTATTTGTGCAAAAAGTTAAGAAGTGTTTCGTGCTTACTATACAATGTTAAAATGTTTCTGCCTTTCTCTGTTAGGAAAATGATAGCACAGGCTTTGGGATATAGTTATTTACGGTACGGCACAACACTTTTTATGGGATGTTCGTCGTTCTGGCGCGCAAGAGTTAATTCGTTATGGAAAAGTATTTTGAAAAGTGTCGCGTTTGACATGCCAAACGTTTCAAGTGCAGATATATTTCAGGAACTTCACATGGTCGTCTTTTGAGGGGCTTTTTAGGGAAACCGTCGTGCTGCGTCATTTCTGGAGCTCCAATTTCAAAGCCCCGTATGTTCAAAAGCGGCCAATAAGGCCATCTCTTCGTTTTGAGGTACCGCGTATTCGAACTCGCTATGGTGAGCGTGTGAGAGAGTATTATGTGCCGCATAATACTACCAAAATCAATGCTCCTTATAACGTCGAGAAAAAAACTTAGGAATGCATTACGCAACTTAGAGGAATAAAATCAAATTTTAAAGTGCAAATTTTTTTTCGTTCTTTTTTTTTTTCTTTTAACATTGCGGTTGCAGTATGTCCAAGGTGTTTTTTTGGTGTGTGTATCCTTTTGGTTTGTCTTAAGGCGCACTGAGGTTTCAGAGAACGAGTGTGCTATAGATTGTAAATTGCTTTTTAACTAAAGTTCTTCTTTATCTAATCTGTAGATTTCTTCACCTGCCGAGCCAGGTACACAAGCCCTTGCGGCTTATTCCGGCTCGCTATTGTATTTTGAAAAATGATTGTTCTATCAATAAAGCTATTTTCTATGTTCTATCCTGTGCTTCTTGGTGTTCGTCAGCCACGTGATTTTTGTGTTTTTTTGTTGTTTTTTTCTACAGGGCGGCTGGTGGCCACCTGCTGCTGTGTGAGGCAGCACCCATCGCTCTTCAGCATCGGCATGTACGCTGTGGTGAAGGAGCTCCAGGGCCGTGGCCTGGGACTCCGCCTTTGGAAGACCGCGATCCGGCGGATGGGCGACTCCAACGCGAGCCTCAACTGCTACGCCACAAACGTCGGCCTGTACCGAGACCGCGCTGGCTTCGCTCTGGTTGAACCCTGGGTCATAGTGGTCTTCACCAGCTCAGCCGTGACAGCAGATAGGCTACCGGAGCCGTCAAAGGAACTTCGCGTGGTGCCCGTTGGCACGCTGCTCCCGCAGGTCCGTATGTCTTCCTTCGTGTTGTAACAGTATATGCATATCATAGATTCTAGGGAGGTCGCGAACCATTGTCGAAACTCGAGGTTCGACAGGTGTGGCGAACCTTCGACCTTTTGGCAAAGTTTGACAGAGGGAAGAGACGGAGGTAAGGGGTGTCACGTGAAACGTACAGGTTACGTGACGTCAATTTTCCTGCAAACTTTCGAGTGGTATACTAAATCGATAATAGATCACGTGACAACGATTTTTCCGCTAAATTTAGAAGGCAAACGGCTTGCCTTCTAGACGTCACGTTTAGGTCACGTGACGTCAAATCATATGAAGACCGTTTTCTCGCCATATTTAGCGAAAAATGAATGGATGGACGGACGGAAAGGTCTCTGGGATAAGCTTGCGGTTACGTTCAAAAGCATTATGTGCTTTAAAAAAAAATAGATCTTTAGTTGTATTTAATTAAGTCACTATTTGCGTCCGCATACTCGTGCCCTGACGCCCGCCGCGGTCAATAAAGTTATATTTCTCGGAAATAAATTCTATGCGGGTAAAAACCATGGGAGGGGAGAAGATCAGAGCTCGCGGGTGACGCCAGAGGGCCGAGCTCTGACTGGAATGATTAGCTGGTAGACGAAAAGCAAGCTGACATTGTCTCTATTCACTCCTCGAACGCGTTCAAAACGCCAAATGCCGGACGCCGGCATTTGGCGTTCAAACGCATTCTAAGAGTGAGTAGAGTTAAAGCCAACGAAGTCAACGGGAATTGGAAATCACTTCGATATATCCGCTATTTCGCCATAACCGACTTCGGTTATAACAAAGTGAAAAAGGGAATGGGAAATCGTGATCGCTTCGCTGTAGCCGCTATTTCGTTATAACCGACTTCGGTCATAACGAAGTCCAAAGGGAATGGAAATCGCGATCGCTTCACTGTAGCCGCTATTTCGTTATACCCGACTTCGGTTAACGAAGTGTAAAATAGAATGGGAAATCCTGATCGCTTCGTTGTAGCCGCTATTTCGTTAAAACCGACTTCGGTTAACGAAGTGTAAGAGGGAATGAAAAATCGTGATCGCTTCGTTGTAGCCGTTATTTCGTTATAACCGACTTCGGTTATAACGAAGTGCAAACGGAAATGGAAAATAGTGATTGCTTCGCTGTAGCCTCTATTTCGTTATAACCGACTTCGGTTATAACGAAGTGCAAAAGGGAATGGGAAATCGTGACCGCTTCGCTATATCCCCTATTTCGTTATAACCGACTTCGATTTTAACGAAGTGCAAAAGGAAATGGGAAATCGTGATCGCTTCGCTGTAGCCGCTATTTCGTTATACCCAACTTCGTTATAACCTGTCTCGACAGTATTATATATTGTTTCATTTCTCCGGTGCCGCGCAACGGAGAACTTACTCCACAACGTCACAAGGTCGTTCCGTTTCCCACCGCAGGTGATCGCGTACGACAGGTCAGTCCACCGCTATGACAGAACAGAGGTGGTTACGTTGACTGTCCGCGACCCCCACGGGTTCACGAGGGCCGTCGTACGTCGTCAGGCGGGACGGGACGTGGTGTGCGGCTTCGGCAGGATCGGCAGGAGCGTCCTAGGAGGAGCCATCCTCGGGCCAGTGTACGCCGAGAATGTCGACGTCGCCGGTGCCCTCCTGAGGGTGCTTGTCGAGGGCTACCCGCTGGCTCGGGACGGCCTCTGCATGAAGGTGCCGGGCTGCAACCCCGACGGCTGCGGGCTGGCTCGGAGTCTCGGCTTCGTAAAGTGTTCCGAAGTGCTCCGTTGCTACCGGAATGAAAAAACGCAAGCGCGAGTAGAACACATCTACGCTCTGCACGACAATAACTTCTGCACCTTCTGAACGGTTTCACCTGTATAAAACGTCGTCTTTTTTTTTTTACGCTTTACAAATTTGTTTTATAAGTTTTGTGAGATCTACACTTATGCGATCAGTGCAATTGAGTTAAACGGCCAGGAGGATATAAGTTAAAGGTGCCAATCGTCACTATAAGTTAAAGGTGCCAATCGTCACTATAAGTTAAATAATAATAAAAAAGTTATTTATCTTTTACAGCGAAGCTGTATACCTCTACCGGCCAAGGAAATTTTCGTGTCGTTGGCGTTGTGAGAAAAAAACTCCCGGCGAACAATTGAAGGCAAAGCCGCATATCTCCTTTGAAATCAGGCATACAGCATACAGCAGTATCCATTTCAATAAAGAATACCACAAAGAAAACCACAAAACAAGCATCAAAACCACATGATGGATGACAAGGCGCGTGGGACCAATAGGAACACCCTCCCACGCGTTCTGGTAAAGAAGAGGTTTGCAGCTGCTTCGAAAGGAGTTGACGTCATTCGAACCCCTTGTGTGAAGGTAGGTAGGTAAGTAGGAACGTTTATTTCACTTTTTTGCATTAAGAAATGCTGCGGTGAAAGGGTTTAGGGTGCATGAGCGGGGGACAGGGAGCTTCCATTCTTCTCTGTTTGCCCGGTTGGTGCGACGGCGTCAGAGAATAGATGTACAGTAGGTTCAGGCCTGGTGTTTCGCCTGGGCTCAGTGGTGGAGAGCTGAATGCCTTGAGGCCGCGTGCCGACAGGGGGAGCTGCAGGGTCCTGAATGTACGCGAGCAGCGATCGCCAGAGTTCGATAGCGATTACTTTGGGGAAGGAGGGGTCCGGGCAGGCCCAGGTATGCAGCGGGGTAGGCCTGAAACTCTGCTGGATGGTAGCCAAGGTGCGGGTTCGGGGCTCCGAGTACAGCGGGCAGTCCCAGAGCAGGTGCTCCAGATCAGCGTTTTTGCGGCACAATGCGCACGCACCAGGAAGGTTGGTGGTAGCAGTACAACTGCCCTTTTCGCGGTGGCTGCTGCTGTGCTGACGGAACCGCTGTAGCCGGTAAGGGGTGAGGATGGTCCCGGTCTGAATTTGGCGGACCGTGACAAGCTGCCGGCGAGAGAAGAGTTGCGAAGGAGGGAAGGGTGTAAGGAGGGGATTGGCGGTAGCCAAGAGGTAGGCTCTGCGGTAGTGCCGTGCCTTGAATATCTCTTCCGCTGGGTCGGGTGGTAGTGCACGGGACTCTACTTGTTCGTGAGGAAGGCAAACTGTATCTTTGGATCTTTATCTGGCCTGCACGGATAGTAAGAGCGCGCGTGCGAGGCGGTGAGCTTTTTCGTTGCCGGGTATTCCGGAGTGTCCGGGTACCCAGTGTGTTGTGAGGTCGTGCCCGAGAGCACGTAAGTGTTGCACAACGAGTCTGAGCTGCTCAAAAGCCACGGTGGTGTGCCGAACATCCGCACAAGCCCGATGTGCAGCTTGAGAATTTGTAAAGACCTGGAAATGGGTCTTGGTGTTGCTGTTGTTAAAGGAATCGTTTGCAAGTCGAACATAATCAATGATAGCGTGCATTTCTGCTTGTGTGCTGTGGACGGGCTCCGTTGTGGCGTGATAGAGTTGCCCCTGAGTTGACGTAGTGGTTTCAACCCAAGCCGTGGCAAGATCCGTTCCATCTTGAGGACAAGCGGCGTCCGTGTAGACGATGCGGATATCTTCTTCCAGGCAGGCGGTTTGGGTCCACTTGACATGTGTCTTGACGAATGTTCGTCTTCGTTCTACTTGCTCGGGGGGCATATGCTGTGGCAGCGGTGTGGAATCGGTGAGCATGATGTGCTCCCAGGGCGGCGACAGTTGTGGGAGGTCTGGAAGGTTGGTAATATCATGTCCAAGCGTGGCTAGCGTGTGTCTGCCCGCGTGCGTGGATCGAAGGCGGACCTCTTGTGTGTGAAGGTGTCTCAAGAAGCTCTGTGAGGTCATTAATGCCACTGCAGCTTTTCAGAGCTGCTAGTGGTGTGTAACAAGGGAGCCCAGTGGTTATTCGCCTTGCCTCGTGGTTGAGACGTTCTAGGGCTTGAAGCTGCGTCTGGGTGACGGGGTGGTATGGCAAACCATAAATCACTTTCGCGTGAATAAAGGAGGTGACAAACTGGCGAAATTCGCGTTCTTTTACCCCCCTGGTACGGTTTGAGATTATGCGCAGGACGTGTAGAACTTGTTTAGTGGTTGCGACAGTACGGTTATACCAGGAGTTTGCTGTGCATTTTTCGTCGATGAACATCCCGAGCAATCGGATGGAGACTTTGCGAGCGATAGGCTGCTCACCGATTGATAAGCTGATGTCTTTGTCGGCTACTTTGGCTTTGGTATGTCTGCCCCCATGAACCACGACGAACTCAGTTTTGTCTGGTGCCGCAGCCAAACCCGCTTCGATTGAGTATGCATGTCTGGTGTCGAGTGCCGCTTGGAGGGCTTCCTCTTGTTTGCCTAAGCATCCCGTGTGGGTCCACACTGAAACATCGTCTGCGTATATGGCGTGTTCGATGTTCGAAATCTTTGCCAGCCTTGCCGGTAGTTGGGACATTGCTATGTTAAACAACCTAGGGGCTATCACAGAGCTCTGGGGGACACCGACCCTGTTGTGGTGGGTGCTGCTGGTTTCTTGCCCGATTTGGACTTGGAATGATCTGTTCTCTAGGAAGGCAGCAATAAAGTTGTAGATCTTTCCTTTCAGTCCGAGATCACGAGCTTTGGCGAGGACCGTGGCATGAGGAACGCCGTCGAAGGCCTTTCGGATATCCACTGCCACCACGATTTTGGGGTGTGGGGAGGATTTGTTCAGGACAGTTTCTTTGAGGCGAAGAAGGACGTCCTGAGTTGATAGACCAGGACGGAAGCCATATTGGGTAGGATAGAGGAGCTGTTTGTCTTCGATGTACCAGATCAAGCGAGCGTTCACCATGCTCTCCATCAGTTTGCAAAGGCAAGAAGTTAACGAAATAGGCCCAAGGTTCGTTAGAAAATGTGGGGGTTTTCCTGGCTTCGGGATTGGCTTCACAAGAGAAAATTTCCATGCCTCGGATAGTTTGCCCTCGTTCCAGATCTGATTGATCTCGTCAAGAAGGGCGTTTTTGTAAGAGTCTGGCAAATTCCGGAGGTGGGCGTAGGATATGCTATCGGCGCCCGGCGTGCTCCGCGCATTTGCGTGTCAGAGAGCGTGGTTGAGCTCTGCCATGCAGAAAGGGCTGTCGATCGCATCGTCATTACCCTTCGTGTCATCTTTGGCGTAGGTGTGTTGGGTAGATATGGAGGTTTGTGGAAAAAAGATGTCGGCAGCTTTCTCGGCAAGTTCTGCCGTGCTGATGTTCTCCCTAAGTGCAACTCTTGCCGTCCCGTTCATCGTCTTACGTTGGCCGAGAACCGCATAATTGATGATAACGGCACCTGCGAACAATGGGTGGCACGTGCCATCTCACCGTGTGTGTTTGGGCCGGCGTTCTCACGGAAAAAAAGACTTCAGAAGATTCAAGTGAAAACTACAAACACCACGCATACAACATGCAGCACAACATTCGTTTCAATAAAAAATAAGCACAAAACAAGCATCCAAACCTTTTAATGAATGACAAGGAGCTCCTGAAAACAATGCGAAGCACGTAGCGCTCACCGCATACGTTCCCGATGAAGATTACTGTTGGCCAAGCTGCCGCGACGACGGCAGCTTGCGACGTGGGGAGTGACCGTCACTAGCCTTTCATATATAAAAGAAGAACCCGCCTAATACCCCGTTTCACCTTACGTCCGGACGCAGCAGATGCTACGAGTTATCTTAGCCCATCCCGTTCTGTGGGCGTGGCCCGTGATACGCTCTCTGCGCGTCGCTGCACCCCCTCTCTAAGGTCACGTGACACTCGCACGGCCTCCGATTGGCTCCGATGGCTCGTGACGTCCGCTGAGCTTAAACGTAAGACGAAACGGAGCATAGCAACTGATTTCATTCTTGCTGCACCACCGCGAGGAATAGGCTGCGCATATTTGGGACTCCCAACGAGCAGCGTGAATATTAGGAGCGGCAAAGAGAAAAGAAAGGGCAATACGACCAGCGGCGGCGTGCTGCGACCGGCGGCGGCATTTCGTATGGTGCAGTAGGCAACCGTTGCGGGCGATACTGCAGCTTCGCTGACCAACCACCTTCACAGCGTGGATTGGGGCCACAACTTCTTTTTTAATTGGTGAAAATAAATGTATGGTTACAATAAAAACTTGATGAGCGTCATCCTAAAACCCTCATTCAGTAAATATTTGAAAGACTGACTACGTGGGAAGTGCAGTAGCACGCTAAAGTTACTACTCGGTTAAAAGCACAAGCACAAGGTTGGTGCTTCCCGGTGCTTCTCACATGCTCCAAGCTTTTTTATAGGTGACCAATATAGTGGTTTTCTTTAACGCTCAGCAAGTTTATGGTAGGAACCATGCGTTTATTTTCGCTAATTAAAAAAAATAAAAGTGAATAAACATATTCGAGTTCATGATCTAACGTTCCGTGACAATTTGCCCCCTATCTAACGTACCCCGGGCCGTATAACTCACCCGGACGGACCGCACCTGACGCCTAGACAATTCGGTGGCGCTGCAGTCGGCCCCCCGCACGCACAGAAGCCTCATCGTACACGATTCTGGTTTCTGCGCACTGGCATTGCGCAGAAACTAGATTGGCAAAACATGGACTTGTTTGTAAACAGCCAGTTGGTGTAAAAAACCCCTAACCGAGCTACGCTTCAATGTAAAGCGATTTCGGCCATTTCGGGACTTAAAAAGCAATCGTTGCTCCCTTATCTGCAGCTTCGCCCGAGACTTGAGCCATTTTGGGGATTGAATTGATCGTTGTCCCCTTTTCTGAAGCTTCACCCGAGATCGCGGGGAACGCTTTCTCGTCCCTCCAAAACGTTACACAACAGTCCGCACGAAGCAAAAAAGATATTGTTTAAGTCTAAGCTACCCTGCACCCTATACACCTAAGACTATAGG